TACCATTTTCAATTTCATTGTTTTCTGCTAATTTGCTCTTTTTCTACTTTCCTAAGATAGAAGCTAGATGATTGATTTGAAATCTTTTTTTCTTCTAATATGTTCATTCAATGCTATACATATCCCTCCCTCTAAGCACTGCTTTTGCTGCACCCCAGAAGTTTTGATAAATTTTATTTTCATTTTCATTTAGTTCAAAATACTTTTAAATTTCTCTTGAGATTTTTTCTTTGAGCTATGTATTATTTATAAGTATGATGTTCAATATCCAAGTATTTTGGGATTTTCCAATTTCTGTTATTGATTTCTACTTTAATTCTATTGTGCCCTGAGAACACACACACTGTATGATTTCTGTTCTTTTGAATTTGTTAAGGTGTATTTTATGGTACATCCCAGAATGTGGTCTGTCTTGGTGAATGTTCCACATGAGCCTGAGAAGAATGTGTAATCTATTGTTGGATGAAGTAGGTCATAGATATTGATTACATACAGTTGACGGATGGTGCTGTTGAGTTTAACTATGACCTTATTGATTTTTTTTTTTTTTTGTCTTTTTGTCTTTTTCCGTGTCCGGCAACGGATCGCAACCCTCAGTGTCGCCCCCGCACCGGACCGGGGACTGGCAACGGGATCGCAACCCTCGGTGTTGCTCCTGCGCCTCGCTCAGCCAGTGAGCGGGAACCGGTCCGCATGTGGGATCCGAACCCTTGGGCGGGAGCGCCGCCGCGCTTCCCAAGCGGCGCACTATCCAGTGCGCCACCGGGCCGGCCCCGACCTTATTGATTTTCTGTCTGCTGGATCTGTCCATTTCTGATAGAGGGGTGTTGCAGTCTCCAACTATAATAGTGAATTAATGTATTTCTCCTTTCAGTTCTACCAGTTTTTGCCTTACATATTTTGAGGCTCTGTTATTAGGTGCATGTGCACTAAGGATTGTTATGTGCTCTTGGAGTACTGACTCCTTTGTGATTATGCAATACCCTTTTCTATCCCTGATAAATTTCCTTGCTCTGAAGTCTGCTATGTCTGAAATTTATATAGCTACTCCTGCTTTCTGTTGATTAGTGTTAGCATGATATATTTTTCTCCATTCATTTACTTTTAATCTATATGTGTCTTCATATTTAAAGTGGGTTTCTCATAGACATCATATAGTTGGGTCTTATTTTTTGATCCACTCTGACAGTGTCTTTTAAAATTGGTGTAGACTGTTGACATTTAAAGTGATTACTTATGTACACTTGGATTAATATCCACCATATTTGTTACTACATATTACTAATTATGTTACATATTTGTTACACCATATTTGTTTTCCACTCATTGCCCTTGTCCTTTGATCCTATTTTGGTCTTCCTCTCTTTCATGATTTTAATTGAACATTTTATATGATTTCACTTTCTCTTCTTTCTTAGCATATTGATTATACTTTTTTTAGTGTTTGCCTTAGAGTTTGCAATATACATTTACAATAATCCAAGTTCACTTTCAAATAGTACTATACCATTTTATGTGTAGTGCAAGAATGTTATAAAAAATATTTCTAATTTTTCCCTCCAGTTCCTTGTATCATTGTTGTCATTCATTTCACTTACATATAAATTATAATCATCAAATAACTTATTTTAAACAAACTGTTATTTGTTAGGTGAATTAAGAATAAGAAAAGTAAGTTTTTTTTTGGTTTTGTTTTCTTTTTAAAACTTCCACTTATTCCTTATCTAATGCTCTTCTATTCTTTATGTAGATCCAAGGTTCTGACTTACATCATTTTCCATCTCTCTGAAGATATTTTCCATCTCTCTGAAGAACTTCTTTCAACATTTCTTGCAAGGCCACTCCTTGCTTTCATGATTTCTGAGAAGTCCAATGTACAGTAGTTCCTTCCCCCTTATCCATAGGGAATATGTTCCAAGACCCCTAGTGGATACCTGAACTGGTGGATAGTATCGAAACTTATTGCTGTCAGTCAGAACACATTTCTCTTCATGTCTTCCACCCATAAATTTAATGCCTTTCGCATCTTAACTAAGCACTTATTACATACTATGGCTGTAATATTTGCAGTTTGAGGTGCAACAGCAAAACCAGCACAGATTTTTCTCCATCTTTACAATTTCATGGATAGAAGATTCATTCTTACTACAGATCTTAGCAACCTCAGCATATGATTTTTTTCTTTCCTTATTGAGAACTTTCACCTTTTCAATTATCAGAAGCACTTTATGCCTTCTCTTTCGCATATCCAAATCACCAGCATCACTACTCTTCACTACTAAGGGTTACTTGAACATAAACACTGGAGTACCATGACAGTTGATCTGATAACTGAGGTGGCCACTGTATTAGTCCATTTCTGTTATAACAAAATACACAGAACTGGGTAATTTATAAGAAAATGAAATTTATTGCTTACAGTTTCAGAGGCTAGGAAGTCCAAAGTCCAGGGAACACATCTGGTTAAGGCTTTCTTTGGTGGTGACTTCTGCAACAGCAGGGTATCACAATGTGAAAATGGTATAGGAGAGTGAAAAAAACTCTGTGTGTTTTCCTCTTAAAGCTCTCAGAATCACTCTCATGACCACCATTTTTAATCCATTCACCACAGCATGGGCCTACAATCGAATCACCTCTTCAAGGCCCTGCCTTTCAATTGCCATATTAAGATTTCCCAGCCTGTTAACACTATCACAGTGGGGGGTCAAGTTGTGGGGGCACACTCAGTCCAAGGCAGCCACTATATGACTAATAGGTCAGTAGTGTATCCAGCATGGAGATGCTGGATAAAGGGATGATTCACATTCCAGGTGGCACAGAGCAGAATGGCATGAGATTTCATCACCCTACTCATGAAATGGTCAGAGCATATTTTTCTTTCTCTCATCATGGCTTTTTCTGCCTTCATGCACTCCGTTGGTCTCTCCTCCTCTTCCCCTGAGTTCTAGTGGCCCCAGCTTGGCTGTTGTTGCTTTTTTACATTTGTAAATTGGTTGATTTGTGGGAGAGAGTTACGCTTGGGACCATTTATTCTGCCATCTTGACCAGAACCCTGTAATGATTTTTAAAAATCTTCCTTTCCATAGTTTCCTTTCTTCCTATATTCATACTACATTAAGTACTTCCTAAATGATCTCAAATAACACTAGTGATAGAGGATATTTGTTTTTTTCTTAAGGATAATTACATCTAGAAATTTTGCTTTATTGCTGGTGTATCAAAGGAATCCTTTATTATATTAAGAATGAATGCTTTTATCTTTCTAGACTTTTCATAAGTACTGAGTTTCATCAAATCCATTTGGTATCTACCAAAAAGAATATGTGCATAAAAGGTGATAGGGAGAGGTTAGGTGACTCTGAGGAAGTGAAGGGAGCAAGAGATATATAATTAGCATTCTACTTTAATATCTTGAGCCTGGTTTCCTGGTTTTCTTGGTTGTTTTTTTCCTCTCACTCATCTGGGAAATCATATGGCAAATACTATACTAAATCTGTGCAGTTAACTCCACCAGTTTTTTCTAGTATCATTAAATGTCCAGGTTCACTTGGTGTATGTCTATTCCCAGCTGTTTTCCCTGATGAAGCATTTCTAGATGAAGCCTTTCTTCATCTGTTGCAATGGATTTTTATATCTCATCTCTAATCTTTTATAGTGTTTACCCTAAATATAACAAACTTACTCTTGTGTCTTGTATTATTAACTACTGTTTTCTTCTGTGTTTTCTGTCTCCCTATTTATATTCTCAGCTTCTGAAGAGAATTACTCAGTTTATATCCCGGGGCTTTTACTCAGGTACTCAATAGGTGTGGAATTGGTTTATAGAAGAGGGTGGAAAGGAATTTAAGATTTTTCCCTTTACTGAGGTCATTATTTTAATAGCTATTTCACTGCCTCCCCTAGTCTAATCTTTCGTGTATGTTTGTGTGCCTACCATAAACATAGATCTTGATTCATTACTAAGATAGGTATTAAAGAAGTATGAGGTCTATGTACTTCTCCCTAAAAGCTTAGAGTGATTATAAGAAATCACATTCCCACCAAAACAAAGTAAGTGTCAAAGTGTGTTTTAGAGAAAAATGAATTTTTAAATGTTATTGGGAAATAATTTTAAACTTACAGAAAAGTTGCAAGAATAGTATAAAAAATACTCATATGTCCTTTACTCTCATTCACCTTTGCTAAAATTTTGCCCCATTTGTCTTATGATTTGGTATGTGATTTTTTTCTTCCGAAACATTTGAGAATAAATTGTATATGTCATGGCCTTTTACCCCTACATACTTAAGTGTATATTTCCTAAGAATAAGGATTAAAAACAAACAAAAAAACCCCACTTCATATTAATATAGAATTCTGTTCCAAATAAAAAATGGTAAAGTCCCTTCCTAAAATTCAGCCTGGAGAAACTGAGGGCCTGTATGTCTGTCAAAGATATTTCATGGAAAGACACTTGTACCAAAGGTGAGCTTCATATCAGTTCAGAAGGTAGGTAGAGTGGGGATCATAGAGAATAATTTTCAGAGAAACCTTCCCCCCCATTTAGAATAAGTTACTGTAAGATGTTCCAAACGCACTAAGCAAACAATCTGATATCTTTGTGGGGCCTGAGGAACACTTGCAGTGTGTTTATTAGCAGCAGTATGAAATTGCCATTTTCAGATATTTCTGGCAGTATATACAGTTTAAACAGAGGTGAGGAAGACTAATAATTACCTACCCCTCACAATTACTTATCATCCTGATGTTCTATTTTTCCCTCTCTTTCAGTTACTTATATTTAATCTTTCTCCTAATCCACCCACATTTCTCCTATCTAATCTCTTCTGAATTTTTGTGCATACTGCTCAGGTTTCACAGACATATATGACAGCTAGAAAAGCCATGCAATTGAAAATATTTTTTTTCTCAATTTAATTCTCACTAAAAAAGGGAGGAATGGTTTTTTATTTAATATGTAAAAAAAAAGAAACATTTGCTTTGTTTTTGGTACTTTTCAGTTTCAGAGTCAGATGGTGAGATCAAAGAGTTTTCTCCAAAAAACGTCTTTTATGAAGATGACACATCCCAGTATTTGATAATGGAAAGAATCTTAAACCAAGGCCCTGCGTATTCCAGTTTTAAAGGAGGCTGGAAATGTGAGGATGATAATGAAATGCTCCAAGGAAATCAGGGACATATTAGGCAAGTGACAGTCTCTCATCAAGAAGCCCTGGCTCAACATATGAGTATCAAAACTGTTGAGAGGCCCTATGGATGCCATGAATGTGGAAAAACTTTCAGTCGGCGCTTTTCCCTTGTATTACATCAGAGAACTCATACTGGAGAGAAACCATATGTATGTAAGGAATGTGGCAAAACCTTTAGCCAGATCTCAAACCTTGTGAAACATCAGATGATACATACTGGAAAGAAACCCCATGAGTGTAAGGACTGTAATAAAACATTCAGTTACCTTTCATTTCTCATTGAACACCAGAGAACACATACTGGAGAGAAACCTTATGAATGTACTGAGTGTGGAAAGGCCTTTAGTCGTGCCTCAAACCTCACTCGACATCAGAGAATTCACATAGGAAAGAAACAGTATATATGCAGGAAATGTGGGAAAGCTTTTAGCAGTGGCTCAGAACTCATTCGCCATCAGATTACACATACTGGAGAGAAACCTTATGAATGTGTTGAATGTGGGAAGGCATTTCGCCGTTCCTCACACCTTACTCGACATCAGAGCATCCATACAACCAAAACTCCCTATGAATGTAATGAATGTAGGAAAGCTTTCCGTTGCCACTCATTCCTTATTAAGCATCAGAGAATTCATGCTGGGGAAAAGCTATATGAATGTGATGAATGTGGTAAAGTTTTCACTTGGCATGCATCCCTTATTCAACATATGAAAATTCATACTGGAGAGAAACCTTATGCATGTGCTGAATGTGACAAAGCCTTCAGTCGGAGCTTTTCACTCATTCTACATCAGATAACTCATACTGGGGAGAAACCTTATGTATGTAAGGTATGCAACAAATCCTTCAGCTGGAGCTCAAACCTTGCTAAACATCAGCGAACACACACTCTAGAGAACCCCTATGACTATGAAAATTCATTTAATTACCACTCATTCCTTACTGAACACCAGTGAGTTCACATTACAAACAAAACATAAGAATGTATGGATTTTTTTTTTTTAAGTAATGCCTTACTTTCACTTTAGAGAAGTCTTGGAAAGAAGCCTTATATGAATGTGTTGAATGTGAAGAAATGTGGCCCATATCTTATTCAACATCCTGGAGAAAAATCCTAGGAATATGTGGGAAAGCTATTAATAGCTGCTCATTCCTTTTGCAAGACCAGAAGATGAAATCAATATTGAGAAGATTCTTCTTGGTAATATTGAGAAGACTCATTTGGAAGGATTCTCTCACTGCCTTTGTAAATTCCTATACCAGGAAAGAGTACACATCCAATAGATGTGGGAAAGCTTTTAGTTACGATGTCAGCCCTCATTCTGTATCTTGTCAGCTCAACCAGGACAGAATGCAAGGGTAAGGAATGAGTTTTACAAAGGTGTACTTTGTCTGAAAATCAGACAATTCATACTTAAAACATAAGTGATATAAACAGTGATTTGAGAATACCTTTATTTACCATGCAATTTAATTTTTTTTTTTTTTTGGCAGCTGGCCAGTACAAGGATCCAATCCCTTGACATTGGTGTTATAACACCAATGTCAAGGGTTTGGATCCTTGTACTGGCCAGCTGCCAAAAAAAAAGTGTACTTTGTCTGAAAATCAGACAATTCATACTTAAAACATAAGTGATATAAACAGTGATTTGAGAATACCTTTATTTACCATGCAATTTAATTTTTTTTTTTTTTTTTTTTTTTTTTTGGCAGCTGGCCAGTACAAGGATCCAAACCCTTGACATTGGTGTTATAACACCACAGTACCATGTAATATTTAGAAAACTTTTAAATACTATCGTAGAAGAAAGCAGCTGTATAAATGAGCATAGAATAACTTTCCACAATATTTCAAACATATATTAGAGAATTATGCTGGGTAAAACCTACCACTGAAATGTAGTAAAATCTTAGATTTGTGAGAAGTCATAGTGGATGAAATCAGTGTGGGGAAGGGTTTATTTCAGGGGGAATTGTTTTTTTGTTTTGTTTTGTTTTAAGTGAATTCAGAAAAGAAAGTTGTGAATAAATCTTTTTGTTTATAAATTAATCTTTTACTTGCTGCTTTTTCCACAGAATGTGATTCTGAAAATGTAGCTACTACAAATATCGACATTATTCAAACATAATTATAGAAACATTTTTAGATATCTTATGGTTTTAACTTTGAGACAGAGTTTGAATTTAAGGTTATGGAGACTCAGAATTTATCCTTGAATCTTATTATAGACGTTTCTTAGTCTGAAAGAAATGTAAATAAGACACATCAAGGAAGATGTCAAGGAATTTTTCCTCTTTTGTTCTATTTACAGTGAGAACAGTTCTTTTCTAAGCATATATTTCAAACTGTTTTGGTATTATGAGCTGCCCAGCTGGCAAAGCTCACACCACCAAGGTGAGTTTGCTTTGATCAGGAAAGTAAGCAATTTTATTTTATAGAAAGAGAAATAGAGAATATGAGCAGTGACCTTGTTGAGCATTAATGTGGTGGCTGTATTGAGGGCACATCTGTAGGTGTTATTAGATAAATATCTCATTTCATAAGCCATTTTGTAGAACGTGGAATTCTTTAGAAGAATTTTAGTTCCAATCAAAGAACCTTATTTAGTTTACTAAGAGTTCTAAATGCATTATCAGAAGAGTTGTATTTCCTTAAACCTGCCATTAGATATGCCATTTTTGTATGTACATTTTCAAGCTTCTCAATTTTCCATAATAGTTGTTTAGGAGAGGCTGATTTAGCTTAAAACAATGTACAGTCTGGCTCAAACAGTGATGAGAAGTATGCTTTGATATATATGGCTATCTAGTACTCGTTTGGCTTTCTAAGATGACAGTAGTCTGTATCAGGGTGAATATCAGTTTACCCTGTGCTTTCACTAATATTAGGGAGAACATGGAAAACTATTTATTTAGATTGATATTTTATATAAGGGTATACTGGGTATCTTCCATTTTCTGCTCCAGATCCAAGCTCTTCTTCACTCTCAAGTATGAACTATATCAGAGGTCATCAAACTTCAGCCTGTGGGCCAGGTATTCATTTACATTTTATCTGGCTGCTTACCTGCTACAACAGCAGAGTTGAGTATATTGCCATATTACTATCAAGGCTAAAATATTTAGTATCTAGCCCTTTACAGAAAAAAAAGTTTACTAACCCCTGACTACATCAAACCTTTGCCCTCTAGCTTTTGGTTGAGTGCAGCCAATGCTGAGAACAATTTACTTCAGAGGAAGATGGAGATATCAGACTGGACCCATTATGTGCATTGTGCTCAGCCATCCCTCAGCTTGGGAAAGGCCAGACACTTGCTTTAAGGAATTAAGAAACGCACTGGTGAGGGATGTACCATCATCCTTGAAGAACTCTGTGGTACTTGCTCTCTCTAGGCCATAGATGATGTGAAGAGGTTTTATAATAAAAATAGGATCCCAATTTCAATAGAGATCATGGGATCTTGGCATGGTAGAGGTTGGGTACAATTAGACAAGAGTTCAAGGGATGGAGTGGCTAACAGAGTTTTAACCACATAGTTCTGTGTAATGGCTAAATGATTATGGGATTCCTGGAGATAAAATAGATGTAGGCTACCAAGGTGCTGTTTGATATACGAGGGATCTTCAAAAAATTCATGAAAAGATTTGTATTATCTTTTAATTCTATTTTTCCACATACTTTTTGAAATTCCCTTGTAGATAGGTGGGGAAATTCTGTATCTACTGGGTAGAAACCTAACTAAAATCACTATAGTGAGGATTTACATCCTTGACCCAGCTCCCAGATTGAAGCCAGTTCACAGTCCTAAAGCTTCTCTAGTGAGGGTGAGGCCAGGTCCCTTTGAAGAAAAGTGCTGTAATTCAATACATATGTACAGTGTGAAAAAAACTCTGCCAACCTATATTTCCATACCAAGCTAAAATATCCTTCAGAAATAAAAATGTTCCAGAATAACAAAAATGGAGGTAACTTATGGTAGTGTGCCTACCTATACTGAAAGAAACATTAAAATAAGTTCTTCAGTCAGAATGGGATGATCTTAGAAACTTGGAAATGCACAAAGAAATAACACTGGAGAGGCAAATATGTTGATAAATACAAGTCAGGTGTTGGGAAACTATGTCTCATGGGCCAAATTAGGCCTGTGAACTAAAAATGGTTTTTGTGGTTTTAAATGGCTGCTTAAAAAAAAAAAAAGGCAAAAAAGAATGTGCAACAGAGACTACATATGGCACCTAAAGCCTAAAATACTTACTATCAGGACCTTTACAGAATAAGAATATAAATGAATACTTCAACAATTATTATATCTGGTGGAGTTTAAAATATACATGAAACTGAAAAAGAATGACAATAGCACAAGAGAGGAATGGAGTTAAGAGAGTAAGATTCTACCACAGCACTGGGGCAGTGGTAAAAGTATTTGGCTCTCTTGATCTGGGGTGGGAAATTTATTAAGCTGCACACTTTACTCTATGAATTACCTACCATGCATCATTAAATAAAAGTCTCTACGTCTCCCAAAATGCAGAAAGATAAGGGGATAAAGTAACAGGTACAGTCAATGTTAGTGAAGTAAATATTAGTTGTGGGAGAATGATCCAAATTCCTTATTTTCTTAGAAGGCAACAATCAGGGCCGGCCTGGTGGCGCACTGGAGAGTGCGCCACTTGGGAGCGCGGCAGCACTCCCGCTGAGGGTTTGGATCCCATGTGGAGACCGGTTCCTGCTCACTGGCTGAGCGCGGTGCGGGCGCAACACTGAGGGTTGCGATCCCATTGCCGGTCCCCGGTGCAGGCACAACACTGAGGGTTGCGATCCCGTTGCCAGTCCCCGGTACGGGCGCGACACCGAGGGTTGCGATCCCATTACCGGTCAGTAAAAAAGACAAAAAGGAAAAAAAGAAGGCAACAATCAAATGCTTTAGGGGACTTATACCCACAAACTGAAGCTGGGTTTTTTTTTTTTTTTTTAAGATGACCAGTAAGGGGATCTTAACCCTTAACTTGGTGTTGTTAGCACCACGCTCTCCAAAGTGAGCCAACCAGCCATCCCTATATAGGGATCCAAACCCATGGCCTTGGTGTTATCAGCACCACACTCTCCCAAGTGAGCCACAGGCCTGCCCCTGGGTTAAGTTTTGTTTCTGAGATATGCCCAAAAGAATTTTCAATCATATCTCAAACAGTGTAACTAAGGACAGGAAAATTGTTAAATCTCTCTGATGAGATGGAAGAAATTTCAGAGCACATAAACAGTAAAACTTGCAGACTGGGTATGAGTGAAGAGAGAGTCCACATCCTTAGCAGCACGTTGAAAAGTCTGCCTTTACAGGGTACAACATAAAAAAGGTGGCAAAAACTGTAAAGTAATTGTCTGATATTTTAAGAATTATTTTAAGAATTTTACAAAAAAATTATTTTAAGAAATGCTGTATCATTAATACTCAATCCCACCAGAAGACAATATTATGTAGAAAAAATGGACAATGCATCAAAGTTTTAGAAAATCAGACTCAACGTGAAACTTTGCTGATAGGTGAAAATGTAATTTTATGTGTTTGATATGCATTTCTTAAATCACAGGTAAGCTTAAGTCACAATATATATTAGTCTGTGCATTTCCTTTTTATGCCAACGTAAATGTCTCATGTTGTCTGTTATCTTAAAATAATTTCATGTTAAGGAAATGAGTTTTCTGTCATTCAAATTTCATACATGAACTATTTCAATAGCCTCCTAGTCTCTCAAGATTTTTTATATAATCAGTGTGATCTTTTTGAAACAGTTTCAGTCTCTTATGAAAAATCCCTAAATAGCTCCTCATAGCTCTTCAAACAAAATATAAACTTGTGCCATAGCTGACAAGGTCTTTTATGATCTGGCTGCTGTCTACTTTCCAGTCTGGTTTCACATACTCTTCTCCTTACCCTTTTGCCTAACAATGTTCCAGCTATTTACTTTATGTTTCACAAATATGTCAAATTCCAAATGAGGACTTCTGTTCTTGCTATTTTCTCTACTTAACAAGCTCTTCCTCTGTCCCTCCACATCCCGGTCCTCTGATAACGCCTTCCTTTCCTTCATATTTCAGCTTAAATGTCACCTTCTCATAGAGACCTTTCTTGACTGCCTTATCTAACATAGGTATCCCTATTCTTACCATAGCACCTTATTTGTTTCCTTCATATTTTGAATTTTGCTTAGAGGTCAATTTAGATGAAGTCTAAAGAGTCCATACTCCTCAGCAACACTTTCAAAAAGTTTGCTTTTAAAAGGTAGGAGACAGAAAAGGAGGTTTATAAATATAAAAAACAATTTTATGTTACTTTTAAAAATGGGTAGAATCTACATATCCCACAATAGCCTAAGCAAGCTATTTACTTTACAACTTTGAAGATATTAAAATTATGCTTTTGAAAAATATTTATTAACAAAGAGGTTAACGATGCAATTTTTTAAAAAAATAGACAACTTAGCTGTGTTTACTACATAAATGAGAAAACTCAACAAGAGACAAGT